ACCACCGCAAAAAACCGTGTTTTATATATTTTACTGACTCTTTTAAAATAATTTTTTTTTAAGAGAAATAATAAATTTACACAATATTTAATTAGTTAATTTTTGAATGCAACACTTATGTATAATTACACAAATGTCTTAACAAAATGCAATAACAATTACAAAGTAAGAAAAAAATAGAATGCATACAACAGCAGCAAATAACTGTGATTTTACAAGGAAGCAAAATAGCAAACAAACAATTAAATAGAGAAATAGCAAAATATTTATTATTACCACAAGCAAACATACTTACGTACACGCATACAACAACAAAACCAACAAAAGAAATAAAAATAGTTAATAGAAAATAATTACAAAACGGAAACAGATGTAAAAAATATTAATTTTGAAATATTTTATTTCAAATTAAACAAAAATATTTTGTTTTTACAAACAGATAATAATTATTTTAATGCTAGAAAACAATTGTTGCAATATTTTTTTTGTTTCAACCTTAAGTAACATACAAGAAGCATATACAAATGGAAAAGACCGTAAAATAAAATAAGAACTTGCCTGCAACAATGAAGAAATATAAAGAAATGCAGAACTTAAAAAAATTAAGAAATAAAATTATAATAAAAAACACAACAAAAAAACTGCAGCTAGAAAGAATTTTAAAAATAAAATTAAACAACTAAAAAAACAACAAAGCAACAAAGCAACAACCACAAAGTGTGCACCAAAGCACAGAACCGAGAACATCGAATTACCGCTAAATAGTAGTTTCATTGATATACATACAGACATACATACTTACAGAAAATTGTAAGAAAAAAATAAAATTTACAAAGTTTAAAGAAAAAGAAAAACCAACACAAAGCAAGCAAAATATTATGATACAACAACAGCAACTTACTGTTAATAACAACAAATCTTAAAAACAAAATTAAAAATTTTAATTTATGATAAAGAAATATAAAAATTTATAAATTGGAAATCAATTCCCCTCAAGTAAAATGTATAATGTTTATTACACTAACAAATTCAATATTTAAAACAGAAAATTAAAAATGCAAGAGAACAAAGAAATAACTGAAAATATTGTAAACAAACAGCAAAACAAGATAGTTTGGTAAAAAAATAAATGTTAGGAACCGTGACAGAAGAATATAAAGAAAACGGTAAAATGAAAAGCAAAATACGGTCTATATAGCTATGAGCGTGAGAGAGCAGAAATAGTTGCTGTGAGGCGTGAAGTCATTTTGCTTAGTAACAGTTTTTGTTATAGGGAAGAATTTCTTATAACCCATAGTCCTTCTACTTTTAAGGAGCAAAAACAGGATCAGAAATAAAATTCTCGGTACTACCGCTCAGAAATTTGGAACACTCGAGCAAATTTCTTGTCACACTTATTTACATAATCACCAATTTTCTTTATTTAAAATTTTTCATGTTTCCTCAAAATTGTTATATCCTTTCCGAGAGAGCTTTTAAAAAAATTTTACTTTTAGACACATATAGAATAAAACGATTGAATATATAGTTGGACTATGTGTAGAAGCTCTTTTGTTATTTTAAATGAAAAATGAAAGCTCAAGTTAGTAAAACTGAAACTTTCATTTCAAATGAAATTTCGAAGTTCAAACTCATACAAGTTGAAGCTTTTGTTATATCAAATGAAAGTTCAAGTTCATGCATCATTTTTCAAATGAAACTTCAATACTCAAGTTCATAACAGCCGAAATTTTCTATTTCAAATGAAATTTCAAAGCTTAATTTTATGAAAGCCGAAGCTTTCATTTCAAATGAAAGTTACACATGAAAGCTTGAAGCTCAAATTGTTAAAAAGCTGAAGCTTTTACTTCAAATGAAAATTTCATACAAGCTAAAGCTTTTGTTATTTGAAATGAGTTCATGGCTCAAGTTAATGCAAACACAAGTTTTATGTTTCAAATGAAAGTTCAAAGCTTAATTTTATGAAAGCCGTAGTTTTTTATTTCTATGAAAGTTTCATATGAAAGCTCAAAACTCAAGCTCTATCTCTGCTCGTAAAATTCTTAGCTAAGAACCGTACAACATTTACCGTACTAATTAAACCATATAAGAAAAAAACACAACAAAAAATATAGAATACGAAAAACTAAAAATAATAAACAAAAACAAAAAACAAAAAACTTGTGCAGCGTGAAAAATGTGGAAGAGAGCGTTAGTGTTGGTTAGCTAAGAAATCTTTCACTGTGCCAAATTGTAAGAGTACCTCATTAATTTAATACGAAAACAACCAGGAGAAGCAAAGAAATACATA